TAAATAGATGCAGTCACGCTGGAATTTGCGAAGCTGTCTGTGTGATGGCATGGCACACAATACAGTTCAGTTACCTGTCAGGGTTGTACGTTTTAATTTATGTGATAGACCGCAAGTAACAAGCAAATTGGCAAGATGTTGAACCAAATTGCATGTGATGGCTTCAAATGGCTGTTAATAAGAGCTCTAAAGTGCTAGTTAAGAGCGTCTCCTGACTCATTCTTTCCAGCGCGCTGCTGTTTATACTATTAGAATTCTTTACGAATGCAGAATAACACTTCAGTGCTCCAGTGACCCCACACCGTTCCCAGAATGCAAATCCAGTGAGTCACAGATTGGCCGCCGTATGACAAGCCTCTGCAGCACCAGCAGAGGAGGAGTGGGTGAGCCGAAGATGAAGAGAGAGAGATAGAGAGGCATTTTTGTGTATGAAAAAATCTACCTCTGTATCCACACCCTGTGCCCCGTGGAATGTGAACATTGTGCGGGGGAGAGACACAGTGGCTTCAGTCATCGCATGGTTTGCAACACACACACTTGTGTGTGTGTGCGTGTTTGAGGGCGATGAAGTCAGAGGAGTGCAATCTTTACCCGCAGCGGTTCCCCTGTGTTTTCAGTCAAAGTGTTTGACTTGTCGTCCATCTTTCCCTGGAGGTCTCAGTATGACCCTCGCCTCTCACACTAAACTTGTCTGTTTTTCTTGCTCTCTCTTACAAACACTAATGATTAGGTCTGCATTTGGGAGGGAAAAAATTGAATTTTGATTTTAAAATGTGATTTTAAGAAGAAAAGGAACACACACAAAAAAAAAAAAAACGCCTGGTTTGCTGTGTTTCACAATTTCACCAAAAATTACGATAAATTTGTAATTATATATGAATATTACTTAAATAATAATAGTAATTATTATTATTATTATTACAAAGTAAAATTCATATAAAAATACAAAATAATGAATATGAATGTAATTTCACTGTTAAAAAGGTAATGTTAAATTGTAATATTTAATAAACTGTTAAAATCACAATATTAATATATTATGTTTTACTAGTATATTAATACTAATTATTAATAAATAATAAAAAAAAGTTTAAATAAAAAATAAGAAATATTAATATCATAAGTGATGTGATTTAAAATAAAAAAGCTTCAGGTTTGCTGTGGTGTTTTGTAGGTTTTTACAGTTATATATGAATATAAAATAATAATATGATATAATAATTAGTCAAAGATGGAGAGAGTTATTAAAAATCATAGTCATAATAATAATATTTATTATAATGATTACTAAATAAAACATTAACTGCAAAATAAAAATGAATAAATGATACCACTGTAAAACTACAACAATACCAGTTTTGGCTTTCTTAATTTCTTCCTTTCTAAACATGAAATCGTTGAGCTTTTGTTTTGGTAGAAATCCACATGGATCCTTAAAACTTTAGTTTTGTTGACAACAGCCGGTTTATAAGCGTTTCTCATTAGTACTTTAGGAATATGTTTCGTTCCCAAATGCATGTTATAAGCGATGCAGAGACGAGTGGAGCAACATTTACGGTGAACTGAGAAAATAAATTCGCCTGATCATGAGCTGCTCACGTGTAAAAGAAAAGTCCCGCTCTGAAACACGCAGCGCATATATTTATTTAATTAAATCACGACCATTGCGTTTTGAAAATCGCACTTAACCATAACTCATTTTTTATTTAATTTCAATTACAAATAATTGATTCAGGCTTATAGTATATGATCAAAGTATAAGCATTCTTACTGAAACATGGTTTATGATTTCACATTCAATTTCTTAACGATCATAAAAATTTGCACAATATGTTTGACAGAATATTTCTAGCATCACACCATAAGAAACTTTGCTTAAGCTGAGTTGTGAGCTTAAATTGAATGTAATGGGAGAGAAAATAAATGATCTCAATAATAAATGATAAGGATAAATTATAAAAATAAATGAACTCAACATTCTCCAGCTTTCTTTAGCATGATCCTCGTTGGTTGCACGCGGCAAAAACAAAAATCTGCAAGCAACCAATTTGATCAAATACGCGCCAGGTAGAGCCGCGATGATGACCTCTTCAGTTTGGGTCATGTGACCTTTGTGAGTTGAGATTGGTGCTGTAAGCGTAAGGCTGACTCATGCTCGTGGTTTAGCAGGCTAGTCATGACCTCCCTCATTATGTGGGGTGATAATTGCCCAAACATGCAGTAGGAATGAGTGAATCTCGACGTGCCGCTGCTAATCTGTCTCGTACGGAGAGGCAGAGATGGTGTGCGCTCTGGTGAGTTTGTCGTAGGCGTTTGGACTTGAAATTTGCAGCGGGTGTCATGATGATCCTTACAGCTCATTCTAATGTTGTGCAAGTTGCCTAAACATGCCTAATCACTGAATGTTTCGAGTCTTTTGATTTGAACCCACAAGTGAATGAGATTTGACACTGTCTGTGAGCGTTTTGCATTAGTGTGGTTGATGGATGTTAAACTGATGGAATGTGAGCAGTACCTGTGTGCTTCACATACCTGGGCAGGTGGGACACATTCGGGCTGGTGCCAGGTTTTGCACGCTACGCCCTACATACTTCACTCATTAAATATAGAAGAAAACTGAGCGCTGCAGTGCTGACTGTTAATTTTGCATAAAGGAGGTGTGACGTATAACAAGGTGTGCAGACTGTGAAGATTGACTTTTGTAGCCTGAGCGAGTCAGAGTTTGTTTTTAGTGTGTGTGTGTGGCGTACTAAAACCATTTAACCATGTATGATGAGTGACAATGTGAGTGAAAGAGCGGTTTGCTTCCTGCAGGAAGATGAACTGTAAACTAGAGCAGAGCTTTACTGTCTGGAGGTCTTGAATTATTTACGTTTCATCCTCATGAGTGGCGATAATGAACTGAGCTTTAGGTCATGCTGCAAATTCTTATTTAAAAATCGTCTGTTGCCTTTTTTGTTGAAGGTTGAGCCACGATTTGAACTTTGCAATGAATTCTTGTAGTTTTGGGGCAATTTTTCCAACATTGATCATGTTGTTCAGAAATGTTTCGTGTTAAATACATACAGGCATAAACATGGTCTTAAACGTTTTGAGCTTGTCCACTTTCTGCCAGAGATAGACGTAAACATATTGCTTTCATAGTCTAGAGACGCTCATGTGGTCGAATGCGACTGCAAACCTACACTGTAAAACCTGATGAGTTAGTTCAACCGATTGCCTTAAATCATTTAAGTTTATTAACTCAAACAATTTAAGCATAAAAAAAATTAATTTGTTTCCAAGTAACTAAATAACTTATTGTTAAGATAACTTGGGTAAATAAAGTGAATAGTACTAATTAGTTACTATAACTTAAATCTATGAAGTACACTGTAAACCCGAATAAGTTGGCAGAACTCAAAACACTTTTCATAGTATAAACTTAGTTAGCTTTAAAAGCTAATCTGCTGACATAGTAAATGCTAACAAGTATACAAGCACTTACAAGCACAGAAGCACTTGCTGTATGAGCGTAACAATAAAAGGGATAATTTGCTCTCAAATCAAGCTGAATGCACCACTTGTCGCCATGATGGTAACTATCCGAAAGCCAACATTAACAGAAATTCCTCTAAATTAGCATAACAAAACATTAATCACTACTAAACATCTCACACTTAACATTAATTTTACACACAAAAAAAAAACATTATATTGCACTTAATTTTAGCATTTACACTCTCTTTCGAATGCCATCGGCAAAGCATGCTGGGAAATAGATATCCCAGTTGTTTCAGTTAAACTTAAGTTCGTCTAAGTTAAAATAAATAATTTCATAAAACTCAAAACAATGAAACAGTTCAGTTTACTTCAAATATATCAGTTCTGTGAAGGAAAGTGCTAAATACTCATAAAAATTAATTTGAATGAACTAATTAGTTGAATTTAAGTTTGTCCTACTCAAACCAATGAATTATTTGGACCGTTAGGGTTTACAGTGTAATACTTAAACATTATGGGAGCGCTGAAGAAGACCCAAGTTTGGTTTGAAGATGCGAAACGTACAAGCACAAACGTCTCATTTATAAACTGCGCACGCTTGTTTCGTCCATTAGATCGAGAGATCTGAAAAAGCCCATAAATTTAGACGGAAGAGGATGAAAGTGGACAAAAGAAATGGATTAAAACACCAGGCGTAAATGGGACTGTCTCCCTCGTCTACTTGTGATCCCGTCGACCAAAACGCATCTTAATACCAGGTGTAAACAGGGCCTTTTCTAAAGATGCTGGTGCATTTAGTCCAGCAGTTTTTAAACGCAAAGACACGTCTTAGTAAAAGCCTCCCAAGAGCCTGAAACTATCCTAATTATACAGTCCATCATCCATATATCACTCATTATGTAGCAGGACTGCATGACCTCTTAATGACCCCAGAAACAGACTCAAATGATGTAAGTCGCAACGTTATTGGTCACAGAAAGAGAAATCGGGGGCAACAAAAGCAGCAAGCTCAAGTGCACAACACACAAAAAAAATCCTTTTAAACCAGTGAAAAATGTATTAAAATCAAACAGCTGTTGTGATCTGGGACGTACTTCTCGATGTTCATGTAAATGAAGTGTGTGCATGAATTATAAATGTGCTGGGCGGCCGGGGACTCGAGTCAAAATCCGGTCTTTGCTTACGCTTGTTTTAAATCCTCAACACTAGAAAAAAATGTGCTTTGAAACCATTTTCACTCAGGAATTGCTAGTTAAGTTCACAATTACGAAGAAACGGCAAGCAAAACGTTGAATTAAACGTAACTGAAATAGTATTTTCTTGTAAAATCGTGGTATCATAACTTAGTATCATATGTGTACATCTCTGATCTTTCTATATACTCCTCTCTGACAACTAGGTAGGGCTTAACTAAGAAGCACAGAGCCATTCTTTCCCGTCTCTGGCATTCACCGAAAAATACAGTATGATAACAAAATGTGTTCCTAAGTTTGTTGTGTGTGTTTTTGCCTCCACAGGAAGCTGATCTCTCTCCCTCACACACGCACATGTGCTGGAAGTGCGATGTTGAGCTGTGAAGCAGAACTGTTGATGGCTGGATGTAGGTGAGCATTGGAGCGCTCTCTGCTGGACGATCACAGTTAACACACATCTACAGAAATGGGACGGATGGATGTTTTGGCTGTACCATCCTCTAAATAAACAACAGCATAGCAAACACAACACGTGTGATGTTTCTCAAATGTCTTCATATCTCCCTGTACTTTTCCATCTCAACTGTTTCTCACATCGTTTCTTTTGCGCAGGGGGCCAATGGTGTGTTAAAGGCGCCATGGGGAGCTGTTGTAGCTGTCCCGATAAAGAGGTCATCCCTGACAACCATCACAACAAATTCAAAGTGAGCAACGAAACGGTCTGAAGGTGTCTGTCTGTCACACATGTACTGCGGTGAACAGACTCCATGCGTTACAGAGAGTAAAAAGTTCTCATTTTTATTAACATACCAAATCATTAAATAATCTAAAAAGCAAATAAATCAGCTCCTGTGTTCTCAAAGGATCAGAAACTGTTTTTACTTTACCCAAGATGCCTCTGTGTGTGTCTATGGAAGAACGAGACCAGATTCTTACTATGCCATATACATTTACTACCAGTTTTGACGCAGTTTAGACTCAAATATGAAGTAGGAAAAATAAAAATAATCACAAAACTGTGAAATCACAGTGTAATATGCGCATTATGTAAACCCTAAAGTTGTATTTTTATTTTATTCATTTTAACAGTGTGCATATGCTGAAAGTGGTGTGTGTGTGTTTGTAGGTGATAAACGTGGATGATGATGGTAATGAGCTGGGCTCGGGCGTGATGGAGTTAACGGAGGAAGAGCTCATTCTGCACACGCGCAAACGAGACGCCGTGAAGTGGCCCTACCTCTGCCTGCGTCGATATGGGTACGACTCCAACCTCTTCTCCTTTGAGAGCGGCCGGCGCTGCCAAACCGGTCAAGGTGAGACTTACGAGCTAACTCTCCATCACATCTGCTTTTACTGTACGATATTTGTTGCTTTGTGTCATTCACATTCATTATTCACTCCTCTTCAGGGATATTCGCCTTCAAGTGTACGCGGGCCGAGGAGATCTTTAACATGCTGCAGGACATCATGCACAACAACAGCATCAGTGTTGTGGAGGAACCAGTGCTGGAGCCTGAGCTTCCAGTGACGCCACACACTCCCACCAGTAAGAACAGACACACTTCCAGATCTTACATTCATATGGGACTCTCTTACTAACTCTTCAATCACTCTCTCTACAGCTCCAGGTTACTCTGTCCCAACAGTGGCAAATGGAATCGGCCGTTACCCGTCATTTGGCGACGCGTCCTCGCGCCCTTCGAGTCGCCATCCTTCAGTGGGCAGCACTAGGTTACCATCAGTGGGGGAGGAATCAACACACCCACTGCTGCTCAATGATGAAACGGTACAGACGCACTTCACTTAAAAACACAGACTAACACTTTATATTAAGGTTTCATTTGTTGCCTGAGTATCAAATCAACATATTAGACCAAGAGCAAAGAGAGTCGAGTCTGAGTCGAGACCGAGATCAAAGATACTCGAATCCAAGTCGAGACCGAGACCAAAGATACTCGAATCCGAGTCGAGACCGAGACCAAAGAGAGTCGAGTCTGAGTCGAGGCCGAGACCAAAGAGAGTCGAGTCTGAGTCGAGACCGAGATCAAAGATACTCGAGTCCGAGTCGAGACCGAGACCAAAGACAGTCGAGTCCGAGACCAAATAAAGTCGAGTCCGAGTCGAGGCCGAGACCAAAGAGAGTCGAGTCTGAGTCGAGACCGAGATCAAAGATACTCGAGTCCGAGTCGAGTCCGAGACCAAATAAAGTCGAGTCCGAGTCGAGGCTGAGACCAAAGACAGTCGAATCCGAGTCGAGACCGAGACCAAAGATACTCGAGTCCGAGTCGAGTCCGAGACCAAAGATACTCGAGTCTGAGTCGAGACCAAGACCAAAGAGTCGAGTCCGAGTCGAGACCAAAGATACTCGAGTCTGAGTCGAGACCAAGACCAAAGAGAGTCGAGTCTGAGTCGAGACCAAGACCAAAGACAGTTGAGTCCGAGACCAAAGACAGTCGAATCCGAGTCGAGGCCGAGACCAAAGACAGTCGAATCCGAGTCGAGTCCGAGACCAAAGATACTCGAGTCCGAGTTGAGACCAAGACCGAAGACAGTCAAGTCTGAGTCGAGACCGAGACCAAAAAGAGTCGAGTCCGTGTCGAGTCTGAGACCAAATACTTGAGTCCAAGTTGAGACTGAGACCAAAGACAGTCGAGTCCGAGACCAAATAAAGTCGAGGCCGAGACCAAAGACAGTTGAGTCCGAAGAGAGTCGAGTCTGAGTCGACTCCGAGACCAAAGAGAGTCAAGTCCTAGTCGAGACCAGAGAGGTTGGATAACCTAAGGTTGGGTCTCAAACCAGACTTTGGCACCATACTCAAACAGTAAACTAAATATACCATGGAATCATGTACACTGTAATGGTATAAAGGCCACATATAATTATGACTTACAATTATTACAATCAGTAAGTGCTCTTTCACATAACATCACTGCACACAAATTCTGTGTGGCTCTTGATACATAGTTGAGCTAGAGGATCCACATCACATCTGACCTGGGTCCTGCTGCATTTGCGTGCCGCAAACGTTATAGTCTCAAGTCATGCGCAGTTGCACACAAGAAAGTCAGCAATCATTGGACGTTTCAATCAAACAATTTAAAGAAACATTAACATACAGTAATATTCATGACATATTTTCAATGGGACTCGGGAATAAGTCCGAGTCCTAATATGTTCGAGTACGAGTCAATTCTGAGTCAAAATGCACACAAGTCCATGACAAGACCAAGACGATTAAAATATGGTCTCGAGACCGAGTCTGAACACTGTTTTAAAGTATATTAACATAGAAAACCATTATTTTAAATTCTAATATTTCACAATATTACTGTTTTTTTCCCCGATTTTTTTTTTATCAAATAAATGCACTTTGATAAGCATAAGAGACTTATTTTGAAAACATCAAAAATAGTAGTGTAAATGTAAAACTCTTAATTCATATTTTTGTCTTGTGCAGGTGCACACTTACGTCAACACGACGGGTCTACAAGAGGAACGGCGCTGTCGTAGCAGTGGCCACGCCCCTCTGGAGCTCCGGACGTCCAATCCCGAGAGCGCACTCCCAACGTCGGCCAATGAGACTGAGCCGCACGTGGTTTTGGACTCGGAGGGTGTAAAGTTTGTTTTAGGCCCTACGCCTGTCCAGAGACAGATGCTGCTCAAGGAGAGCCCGCAAGATCTCAGCGAGCGGGACGCGGGAGTGCCCGGCTCTAGCACAGATAACGCCACTTCTCCTGCAAAGACAGTAAATGGCTGCACAGGCCTTGCGACTGACTGCGACACCGGTTACGATAGCGATGAGCGCAAAGAGACGCCCCACGAGCAGCAAAACGGCGTGGTGGCACCCGTCGGGTCCGGAGCGAGACGAAACAGACCTCCTGTACCGCTTCCCGACGCCCACAACGCCAACAACTCAGCCCAGCGGCGGACTGCGCTGCTCAACTACGAGAACCTGCCGGCGCTGCCGCCCGTGTGGGAAACGCGCAAACCCAACAGCGAGGCGGAGGACGAGGACGATCTCAAGTCGCCCTCTCTGAACGGCTTCCATTCCCTCGATCCCCAGCACAACTACGTCAACACGGAGAACGTCACGGTGCCGCTCAGCGCACACAAACTCTCCAGCACTCAGCCCACCGTATTCAGCTTTGACCTCCGAAGGCTCGGGGTGGGCGACCCGCTCCGGCAGCTCAACTACATCGAGGTGGAAATGGACAAAGTGTCGGACTCCAGTGGACCTCACACCCCAAAAACACCCACCACACCCTTGCCACCCACCCCCACGCGGCGGACTGAGCTGTACGCCGTCATCGACATCGAGCGCACGGCTGCCATGTCCAGCCTGCAGAAAGCACAGCCACGGGATGACGGCACATCCAGGAAAACTCGACACAACAGCACCGACCTGCCCATGTGACCCGACCAGCACTGATCCAGCAAACCAGTCGGTTTACTCGTCCCAGAATGCAGGAGTTTATCTCACGAAAACCTGTCAGGTCACATTTCACTGAGATATCTAAAGAAATAAATCCACATTTACCCTATTTTCATACCAGCAAACCCGTCGGCATATGTGGAGTGTTGTACATTTTTAACTGGTGTATGGCAATAAAAAAGTTACTAAAAATACTATATGGCAATACTAAAATTCGAAATCATCCCATACACATAAATGCGCTAATGTTCTTGTCATGCTCAACAAGGCTGCATTAAAATTTGTTCAAAGATACAGAAGAAATTGAGAAATATTTTTTACAATTTAAAATAACTTTTCTGTGTGAATATATTTTAAATTGTAATTTATTCCTGTGATCTAAGCTGATTTTTTTTTAAATTTTTTTCATCATTACTCCAGTCTTCAGTGTCACATGATCATTCAGAAATCACTCTAATATGATGATTTGCTGCTCAAGAAACATTCCAAAAAAATACTACTAAGCAGCAAAAACTTTTCAACATTGGTAAATGATAAATGGTAAAAAAGCACCAAATTGTTCAAATGATTTCTGAATGATCATGTGACACTGAAGACTGGAGTGATGATGCGGAAAATTCAGGTTTGCATCATGGGAATAAATTACATTTTAAAATAGAAGTTGTAATAATATTTCAGAATGGTTTAAAGGTAAATCATTTTATAAAACCTGTATTAATTAAACACTAAAGTTGTTTAAATCCTCATTTTTCAATCATTTTTATGATCTAGGATTGTTATCATAGACATTGAAGCTGTTTAAAAATTCCACTGCTGATTCCAATTATTATCATTTTTTAGAAGAATTTAAAGAGTATTAATAAGTATTATTAGATTTGATCTCCTCCTCACAAACCCGGGTATGAATTTATGGCTGTTTGAAAAGGCAGAATATCTTATTAAATGCTTAAAAAAAAAAACGTTAATTTTCCGTATGCAAATCTAAGCTTGTATTTCTTTAGATTCAGGATGAAATATGATCTTGACAGGTTTTGTGAGATTCACTCAGTTTAAGTATATATTTGACATGCCTTCATAGCGCAGGTCTGAAACAGGTACAGATGAGGAAACACTAAACGCTTTACCAGACCTCATTCATCAATGCTGTGATGTTTTCCTCTCCTTTTCAAAAATATCCAAGTGTTCGAGATACGTCTTTTATGTGGTTACTTCAATGATGTAAGTCACTCATTTTGCACTTGAGAGCAATAAAAGATGCTCGCTACGGTATTCTAGAATCACATGGTTCACTGCAGTCACTTTAAACACTCGCTCTCACTCCACAAGCCCTTCTGCTAGCGTGATCCCAAAGGAGAGCGCTAATGTGTGTGTGTGTTTTTGTGTGTGTGTGTTTTCAGCTGTACGCTCACGTCTGTCGACCAAAGACACGCGTCACTGCCCGCCGGATAGAGTCCAGTGTGTCTGAGCGCCTCTTCCTTCTCTCAGTTGCTAAGAAACCCTGATATTTGAAGTGTTTAGAGAAAAGGTTTTCAGGTGTAGAATCTGTACATTTATTCATATTAGTGATTATTTATCAGTGATTATGTCGGTAATGGACAATTTTGACTATTTTATATTGGATGCAGATAAAATCTTGGCTTATTTTTCCCTCAACTTAAAACATGTAGTTCACCCAAAAATTACAATTCTGTCAATATTTACTCACTCTCATGTCGTTTCAACCAAGACCTTCGTTCAACTTTGGAACACAAATTAAGGTATTTTTGCTGAAATCTGAAAGCTGGATCACTCCTCCATACTAGTCCATAGGATTCTTGAGGGATTGAAACTTGCCGGCCTCGAAAAGTTATTAAAGACATAGTTTTCCTCCATTTCATTTCCTTCTCTATGGGCCTGTAGTCAGTTTAACTAGCGTAATTGCGTAGAGCTACGTTACACGTAGGCTCACTATTGGCCGGCGCTGGTCGTGTGTGTGATGTGTGTGACGTACAACAACACTGTTAAACTAGTAACCTGACTCGAGGCCCAGAGATAAGGAAATGAGATATATAGTTGAAATAAAGTCATTTTTTATGTTTGTTTTTGCGCACAAGAAGTATTCTCGTTGTTTGATAAACTTAAGATTGAGCCGCTGTAGTCACTTGGACTATTTTAACGATGTCTTTAATAACTTTTCAATCCCTCAAGAAGCTTATGGACTAGTATGCAGGAGTGATCTTAATATCTTAAATATCTTAATTTGTGTTCTGAAGATGAACGAAGGTCTTACGGAGTTGGAACAACATGAGGGTGAGTAAATACTGATTTTTGGGTGAACTATCCCTTTAAAATAAAATATTGGTATATAAAATCAGGGCATACTTTGGACCAAACTTAAATGTTTCTTAAAATAATGATAATTTAATTATTTACCCATGGCAGGTTAATTATTTTCTTTCAATTATTGGCTGATATTAGAATCCGATACAATCATGACTTATTTTTACCCCAACTTAAAATAATAATAATTATAATAATATTGGCCAATATTAGAAGCAGATTATTTTTACCTCAAATTTAAACAGATTTCTTTAAAAAAAAAAAATAATAATAATAATTTAAATATTCTCCTATGACCAAAACTGGAAACCGATAAAATAAAATAAATTAAATATTTTCTTCTTTTTTTTTAATTATTGGTCAATGTTGGAAGTATATATACAGCCTATGGCGTTACATACATTAAAATATCAAATTTTACACGAAACAGCAATTAAGATTAAAGGTTCATTGTATTTTTTTTATAAATCAAACACAAAACTAGATTCATAATATAAAAGCAGCAATCAGAGAACTTGAACGGTGCATCCCTATCAAACGCTTGATGAATGTATTGATGACTATAGGCCGGATTTCTTCAAGTATTTCATAAACGCATCAGTGTTGTAGATCTTGCAGTGTGGTCGACGATAAACACACTTTAGTTGGTCTCGTGCGTCACGCTGTTTCAGAAGGCCCTGGAGGATTGTGCGGTGCTGCAAATGTGATTGTATCGCTCGTCTGAATGCACTCCAATGTTCTTAAGGGTTTCCAAACAAAAGACAAATGTTTACGGCGAGTGGAGGACTAGACATCCAGCTTATGTAAAGCTTCTATTGTAAAGTTTATTGCATTATTATTTTCTACCTTTTTGAGAGAGTGTGCAAATATAAGAACGTTCACATGTAAAAAAAAAAATGACATTCAGTAGTTTTAGCCACAAATGAGTGCTAATGAAATAACTGTATAAATCAAGATCATTTGCCAAATCTGAAGAACTGAATGATTGTCGGGATCTTTCAGGAATGATGCATTGTGTGTGTGTGTGTGTGTGTGTGTGTGTGTGTGAGAGAGAGAGAGAGAGGGTGGTTACATTCCTATGCGAGTATTTCACAATTACGGACGTTGTACTGAAACTAGTTTTGATATTTGCATTTGATATATTGGGTATTGATATCAGTTTAGTAAAATGTTTTTTGTTTTTTTTAATTACTTAACTTAGTTACTTAAATGACAACTATTACTTTGCCATCAGTGCCAACTCTATTTTTGTAGCATGGCAAAAAAATCATTAAAAAAACAAAATGAAACTCTGAGTGTCTCAATCGGTTTAATCTCAAAAACTGAAAATCAAGATGTTGTGCATTGGAACAATATCCATTTAATGCTTTTTGGTAACAGATTTGTTTGATTTCTATTTATGAAAACATCAATATGAATGCATTTTTTTTCAAGGCAAAGCAATACCATGCTATTTTTGTTCTTGCAGTGTGACCAGCATATTTCAAAAGAACCAATACAGCAACCCAATTACACACAGCCCATGAAACAAAGGATATTATAAGAGATCTGTACTGTAGTCTAATAAATTAGATATTGGGGCAAAATTACAATAACCTTGGGCAGAAGCTGTGGATAGTGTCAGCACTGCCCACCAGAGGGCACTACGACACAACTGCCATCATAACACTTGCACAAGTTTGCTTCTCAATAATGTATCATCATTTATGATTATTGCACTCTAAACAATGCTGAGTTGTTTTAGCCCAAATTTAGGTCAAATATTCCCAAATCCTGGGATAAAAATGAAAATTAAAGCTTCAACTTTCACTTTCAACTGTACATTTTTTAATTACACTCTAAAAAATTCTGGGTTGTTTCAACCCAATTTTGGTTCAAATATGGACAAACCCAAATCTTGGGTTGAATTTATTAATTGTATTTTTTTAATCCAAAATTTGCATTTGACCCAAAATTAGGTTAAGACAACCCAGCATTTTTTAGTGTACATTTTTGACCCAAATTTGGGTTGAAACAACCCAGGATTTTTTACAGTGTAATAATACAGTAACTAAAAGTAAGACTATAAGGACTGGATTTTTTTGGTTTATTTTGATTTTCTTTAAGACTAGTGGAAAGAAAAAAATCCCAAATACTTTATTACACTAGAATTACGTCTTATTTGCATCTGTAGGTTCACTCTAAAAATGCTGGGTTGTTTTAACCCAACTTTGGATCAAATATGGACAAACCCAAACGCTGGGTTAAAAATGTAATTAAGAAATTTAACCCAATGGCTGGGTTTGTCCATATCTGACCCAAAGTTGGGTTAAAACAACCCAGCAATTTTAGAGTGTTGTAGTTAAAAATACATATATTTAAAGCAGAAGTTTGAGTCAGAAATCTTTACCTACATTAAACTTTACATTTTTATTCCAATCTACATTCTGAAGGATTTTACAAAGGCTTTAACTATATGAAAAGCTATATATAAATATATAATTTGCCTGATTTAGTTGTTATTTTTTCAGAATTTTCTGATTAATGGTGTAATAAAAAGAGATATCCAAAAAAGCCTTTAACTCTATATCTGTCAACAAATATTTCAAACCTGGTAAAACATGTTCAGTTTTCTGATCTGGAAATTATATGCAAATTATTGCATGATTAAATAGATGCCTTGTCTACAAATGAAAACATTTCAGAAAACTTGTTGTCTTAATATGATTAAAAACCGGGTAGGTATGGTGATGATATCTATTAAAAGCTTTAATTATTGAAATATGTAAACACTCTGCAATAAGGTCTCATTTGTTAACATTAGTTAATGCATTAACTAACAAACTAACCAATTAAAATGTTACAGCATGACAGCATGTTTATTTGATAATGTTGATTAATAAAACAACCTTCATGTTATTTCAAACTGCATTCATTTATGTTTTAAAAACTACTTTTGATCTTTATATGTTGTAAATATTTAAATGAATATGAATTAAGATAGAATAATAAACTCAATTATTGGTCTTTGTTAGTTCTAGTTAACTAATGTTAAGAAATGAAACTTTATTGTAAAGTAGGTTGGTCAGATGACCCAGTCTGCTGTGATTGGTCTACTCTGCTCTGATTGGTCAGATGACCCAGTCTGTTGTGATTGGTCTGCTCTGATTGGTCAGATGACCCAGTCTGTTGTGATTGGTCTACTCTGCTCTGATTGGTCAGATGACCCAGTCTGTTGTGATTGGTCTGCTTTGCTTTGATTGGTCAGATGACCCAGTCTGTTGTGATTGGTCTACTCTGCTCTGATTGGTCAGATGACCCAGTCTGTTGTGATTGGTCTACTCTGCTCTGATTGGTCAGATGACCCAGTCTGTTGTGATTGGTCTACTCTGCTCTGATTGGTCAGATGACCCAGTCTGTTGTGATTGGTCTACTCTGCTCTGATTGGTCAGATGACCCAGTCTGTTGTGATTGGTCTACTCTGCTCTGATTGGTCAGATGACCCAGTCTGTTGTGATTGGTCTGCTTTGCTTTGATTGGTCAGATGACCCAGTCTGTTGTGATTGGTCTACTCTGCTCTGATTGGTCAGATGACCCAGTCTGTTGTGATTGGTCTACTCTGCTCTGATTGGTCAGATGACCCAGTCTGTTGTGATTGGTCTGCTTTGCTCTGATTGGTCAGATGACCCAGTCTGTTGTGATTGGTTTACTCTGCTCTGATTGGTCAGATGACCCAGTCTGTTGTGATTGGTCTACTCTGCTCTGATTGGTCAGATGACCCAGTCTGTTGTGATTGGTCTACTCTGCTCTGATTGGTCAGATGACCCAGTCTGTTGTGATTGGTCTGCTTTGCTCTGATTGGTCAGATGACCCAGTCTGTTGTGATTGGTTTACTCTGCTCTGATTGGTCAGATGACCCAGTCTGTTGTGATTGGTCTACTCTGCTCTGATTGGTCAGATGACCCAGTCTG